TGCCTGAATTGCTGTGCTCAGTTCTAGTTGATAAAACTAAGAAATGAGTGGAGAGAACAGTAACTTAAATACAATATGCAGGGAGAAAATCATGATCAAAACAATAAAACTCTCTATAAAATAATCAAGATGAAATATTTTTTATAATTTTTAATTTTTTTTTTTGGATGTCATGATAGTTCTTGAAACCTGAAGTTGGGACACTGAAAACAAAGAGTGCCAATAGACACCACAGGATTTCACTAACTCCAAAAAATACAGCTTGTGGTAAATACACTCACTACATAGTTACAGATGTATCATCACTTTATCTCCTACTCTTTCTCTTCTTAGGTTCTCCTTTCTAAGTGTCTACATCCCTTTTTTCATTTTCAAATAATTGATCAATAAATTCTGCATTGTTACCATCAGTATCAGAATGGATGACATCCACAAACTTTGCATCAGTGTAATGTAATCTGTCGTTTGATGGTTTTCCAGAGAATGCTGGCCCAGCAGGGTCAAGTCCTGAAATTCAACAAAGAAACTATAAATCTCTTATTCAAGTTCTACTATAATGTTCACCAGATCATATGTTTGCATTATTATAACATCATAAATATAAACCTCTATAGTTTTAGCTTAAATCTGTCTAAAAACAAATTTAAAGATAAATAAAATTGGATGAATAGCAAGTATCTTTACTATGTTAATAACTAGAGGCCCAGTGCATGAAATTCGTAGGCCTGTGCCTTCTCACAGTCTGGGACACCGAGGCAGATGTCCACCTGCCAGGTTAGGGGATTGGGCCTAAGCCAGCAGTCAGACACCCCTCTCGCAGTCCGGGGCTCTCAGTCTTGTACTCCTCTCTCATTACTGCCTACCTGTAGCAGAGGTGGGAGAGGCTCCCACCACTGCTGCTGGGCTCACCAGCCATAAGCCTGGCCTCTGACTGAGCGGCACTTCCACTGACCACAGGGGGCAGCTCCTGCCTTGAGCGTTTGCCCCCTGGTGGTCAGTACTTGTCATAGAGACTGGTCATTCCACCATTTGGTTTATTTGCATATTAGGGTTTTATTTTATAGGATACTTTTTACCAATTTTCAGAGTTTATCAACAATACAGTATTAGGTATCACTAGAGATGCCTCAACAAAATATTGTAGGTTTTAGCAATTTTATTTAAGAAGTAATTAGGAAAAAATGTTAGAACTTTAATAATAAATAACTACTACAACTTGTGAAGGGGGAAAATTAATCCCAATCCTGTGCATTATTAGTTCATCCTGGGTCTATCTATAGGTCTAAAATAATGTTAGGCATCAGATGTAATTTGAGCTGTGGGATGAAATACATTTTTTACTGTTTTATATTTAAATAAACATTTTTTTATCATTTACTTCTCACAAAAGTTTACCACACACATAAGAAAAATATATTAAAAGTTCCATGAAATATGAATACATTTCTGATATATTTTAAATTCTAAGTAAAAAGTCTAGGCCAGTGATGGTGAACCTTTTGAGCTCGGTGTGTCAGCATTTTGAAAAACCCTTACTTAACTCTGATGCTGGGTCACATATAGAAATTTTTTGATATTTGAAACCATAGTAAAACAAAGATTTATATTTTTATAATTATTTTATATATTTCAATGCCATTTAACAAAGAAAAATCAACCAAAAAAATGAGTTCGCGTGTCACCTCTGACACGCGTGTCATAGGTTCGCCATCACTGGTCTAGGCTCATGATCTTCTGGATAGTGCCAAAAAAAGGAGGGAGGAGATAAAAGTCAATGCCTTGATAAGATATACACAATGGAAGACACATCATCTTAAAAAGAGATTTTTAAAGTAAAATATAATGTTGATTATCTCAGGCCCTTCTATTATTCTTGTTTATTTAGCCAACTTAATGAAAAAGGCAGAAAATTCTCTCTTTCTATAAGTGATTCTGATGTAGAAGCACCACATTTCCTGGACTTGTAAACTTTCATAATTGCTTGACATGTATAATCTTTTAAATTGGACTAATATGTGATTAAACACACCTTAAAATAAAGTAGGTTTACCACCAGTTGAAACTGAGTTAGCATGGCGATTGAAAAAAAAAATATGGGCTTTGGCTGCTAGAGACCTTCGTGTAAATTCTGGTTTAGCTGTTGCTAACTTTTTAACACTTTCACATTCATTCAATTAACCTCAGTTTTCACATCTGTATAATGAGAATGACACTAAAACTGATCAAGGTAAGAAAGGTATACTAAAGGCTTGTAAACATCCTAACAATCTGTACTAGTTATCCACTCCTCTCCCCCTTTTGCTTAACTTCTCTAAAAACTCTATTACCTTTTATTTACACTTGAAATTATTAAAAATCTTCTATAGACGTCAATCTCCTTAATTCTTAAAAAGCTAAGCTGGTTGGGGAGGGATAATATCCTACCAGTTCTCAAATCACCATTATTCTAGAGGCAGGTGAGTAATAAAATTATTGGAGGAGGTCACTTCGAAATTATATAGCCATCTAACCACTATACTGTATACCTGAAAATTATATAATTGTAATTGAAAAATAAACATTAAAAATAATAAAAAATTAAAATGAAATACTCACTGACTGGCACTTAGGTCAACTGTGAGGTCTGGAAAACCACTTGGACCCCTAGACCGCTTGGTGCTGAGAAATGGGGCCTTACTGGCTGGATGGCATTGCAAGCAGAGAGAGAAACTGGATGCCACCTTCCAGTAACAACTCTACACTAACAGAGTGGAAGCATGTTGCCCTGCCTAGCTAAGCCACTTCCGCCACTGTCCCCAGAAAACTGATACATGCTTGTAGAAGATGGCAAGCAGAGAAAAAGAAGCCCTGCGTCCAAATTCAAATTCTTTCACTAATTAGGCTACACCTCAGAGGTAGGAAGACCAGATGGCCCTGATTGTCCCATGATGGGTGGCTGTGCTGAGTGGTTTAGGACACAAGAACTCAAGGGAGCACCATTTCCATCGTATCCTAGAGATGTACAGAGCTCAACCTATGCAGCCATGCTCTGTGGCCTTATGGCCAATTCATCCCTACCATAAATGGAAGTCTTCCAGTACAAAGAAAATCTGTAATTCTAAAAAATTTCACCAGCATTCCTAAAGGGAAGCATGAAAATCCATGTCAGCATTATTTGGTAATCAAGCTTACCGGATGAGGTAACTTTGTTATGAAAATATGAGAGGATCTGGAATCCCTTAAATTTAAATACCAACTCCCAACTCTCCTATTGTTCCAGTAAAATTTTTAAAAGTATTGAAATACATCAAATTCTTTGAAATTAAATATAGCACGTTATTATATTTTCAGTTAAAAAGCTTTATATTTAATGGAACAACTTTTTCTTTGTATTGTTATAACGTGTTTTTAAAATTCAAATGGGGCTGCAGAAGTTGATCTGATTCTTTTCAATACTATAAGGGTAATATGCTCATCTAAGAACCAAACAAGACTTTTAAATCTAACTAAAATAAATACTAACGTTTGAATATAATATAGAAAAAAATAAATATTTGTGCATTATTTTTATGGCTTAAATATTATATCTATTAAAGTTTAAATAAAGTAATTTCTGATGCTTAAATATATGCAAACACATTAATTTTATTTAAACATTTTTACCTGTTATTCTTCCAAGTTGACCTTGAAATAGCTTTCCAACAAATCCACTAATATGAGCCCCTAAACTCATACCTATGAAATGAAAATTATCAAGAGATGCTCCATGCTTCTGCAATAGAAAGTGCAATGTTACAGTTTTCATTTCATAAAATCACAAATTATACCTTTTGCATCAATATTCTAAAATTTGTTATTTTTTGTAGTTTAATCCATTTCTAAAAGATAGAAAATAAGATTTTATAATTTTAAAACAACTATCTTTGTTCAACTTCTTCCATGAAATATCTGATTTTTCTCTACACATTGTTAATAATTACATTAAATTTTTACTTAAAAACTAGAGGCCTGGTGCACGAAATACATGCACCGGTGGGGTCCTTAGGCCTGGTTGGCGATCAGGAACAATTGAGGCCAGGCGGATCAGGGCCGGGCCAGAGAGGAGGTGATGGTCGCCTGGCTGGGCGCAGAAGGAACAGATGCTGGATGCTGATCATCAGCGCCTGGCCACTGTGCGGTTCCCCACCTCCCCCCTCCTCCTTCCCTCGCCACCATGCCACCACCAAGGCGGGCAGGCGGGTCAATCAGGGCCTGCTGGCTGGGGGGAGGGACAGGGCACAGGAGGTTGGCCACTGGCCCCAAGGAGGGAGCTGTCCCTCAGCCCCCTTGGAAAAGGGGCTGCGTCCACCGCCACTCACCCCCAGTTCCCTGTCCCAGCCTGGGAGCTGGGGGAAGGGACTGTGGAAGGTTGGCCAGCCTGGGGAAGTTGGCTGTGGGAGCACGCTGACCACCAGGGGGCTGTATATATATAACCTCTGCCACCTATTATCTAGAATAATATATGCAAAATAACACATTTAATTAGTAAATCATTGTATAACAATAATAATTAGACATTATTGGGGATTTACTTTGTACTAGCTACCTTGACAAGTGCTTTATAAATCTCAAATTTAATATTTACACTAGCTCTGTGAGTCATTTATTGTTATCCTATTTTTCCTAGAATGTATAAATGCAGAGTAAATATTTGATCTTAAGTTGCCCAAAGCCAAATGTACTATTTCTAAAAGGGAAAAATGTGTACTTCTAGTCCAAGTCTGTTTAACTCCAAAATATATTCTCATCAGATTGTGTCAAATATTCTTGGAAGACTGAACAGTGTGAATCATCATCCTCATTTCAGAGATGATAAATCACTCATGGTTTTTGAGTGATTTCCCCAGATCACATCAAAAAACAATGAAATCTGATCTTTCAAGCCCAAATTTTAGACTCCTCTCTGAGCTTCAAACACCCCTCCTTGGTGGGGGAGGAGGCCAATTAAAAGCTTAAATGAGGGAGAATTTCTTCCCCCAAGTTCTCAAGAAGCAAGTGAGGGTCCATTTTACACAGTGACACATCCAATGGCTTATTGAAGATATAGAGCATTTACTTCTAATGAGAAATTAGACGTAGGCTTTCCAAGCTCCGGGTGATAATTTTCTTCAAAATTTTCAGAGCAGTGCCCAGAAACCTGAGGGAGTGTCACTCTCAAGTTTAGTGCTACTGGTCCTTTCATCTCTTCCCCTTAATATGAAGCTTTTGCAAGCAAAGCCACTCTTAGAAACATATCTAAACTACAAATTTTCCTAAATTTGAAACATATCAAAACTACAAATTTTCCTAAATTTTTCTATTTCACATTCACATTTTCAATACTTTAAGGTGCATGTTAATTAAAGAGCACTGCTGTAAGGAAAACAATCAATTATGAAAATCATAGACTATCCATAAAAACAGGTGCATCAATTACCTCTCTCTAGAGGGATGGTTTGGGTTTGTCCACATTTAAGTATATAAATATTAATTAGGATAAATGATTTTTGCCAATGATTATTATATAGCAGGCACTGGTTAAGAATTAATTTTATTTAAAAGTTAAATATTGATATAATGTCTTGTTATTCCAAATGTATAGCTAAGTAAATGAGGCAGAGAGCTTAAGCAATTGCTCAAAGTCACACAGATGATGAGATGGATTTGTCTTTGAAACCCTCCAATCTAGCTCCTAACCACTGCATGTAACTACTTGGATGTGACATGCTTGCTCAATTTGAGCAGACTTGGAAGTTAAGCATAACACAATTCAAAGGCAGATTTCAAGGCTATGAATGTCCCCCAAATCAAATATCCTTCTTTCTCTCGAGTGCCCATCACCACCACCTATCTCTGGAACAGACATGGATCTCCATATGGATTGACTTAGTAAAGGCAGATGACCTAAAACTGTCCTGAATTTATTTCACTCACCCAACCCTAGACCAAAATGCTGGACAAATATGAATGAAACTAAGACCTGCCTCCAAGGTTGGCAGAAATAAGCTACTTTTCAGTTGTTTTTCTCTAATTTTTACCAATTCACACTTGATTAACTATAAACTATAAACATACTAGCCATACATTAGAAAAACTATTTAAAGTCTCTAATGATTATATAGTTTATTCCCTATGTCTATATAGAATCATTACTTTATCCTGAAATCTGTATAGAGTTAAAAAGTTAAAATCCTAAAAGATAAAACACAATAACTTAGTCTTTAACATATTTTTTTTAAATTAAGACAGGTCATGTCTAGGCATAAAATTATCCATTTACATAAACAAAAAAGGATGGCTGCATACATTAGCATATCAAGCAATAATTCTGAATTCTGAGAAAAAAGCATTAAGCACTAAAATATGAAAAAAGCATTCTTTAACAGTTTGTAGTCTTGCATAAGTTACTGTATATTGTATAATGTATATAATACATAACATTCCAGACTTACCAACAGCTTCTGAATGCACTCACTCAAATTCACAGCAACTTTTCTGGTGTTTCTAACGGCTCTACTGTAAATTAACGTTGTAGCACCCCGGATCCAGTTCACTACAACTATATTCACATCATGATGATTCAAAGTCCTTACAAAGTTCTGAAGCCATGATGGAATGGAGCTCAGTGGTCTGTATCCATGAATAAGCCAGACTGTTTTCTTACTTGTGTTGAACTTAACATTAAGTGAATCATCCTGCTCCAACAGTGGCTCAGGACAGTTTAGGTTGTTCTTTGTATACATTAACAAAAACATCTCCACTTGGGGATTAAACAAATCACTGAAGGAATCCTTTATTGATAGCTTTGAAAATTTAAGGCATGGTCTTTTATTCTCTGAAAAAAAAAATCAGTCAAGCTGAATACTGATATAGTATTTGATTCCATTCCCATTGCTCTTGCAAAAAGCAAGATTGAACTTGAAGGGTGGGGAGAATTTAATTTCATTAGCACTTCAACACAATTTACCGAGTAACTACAATGTTGATTTGCTGATTATGTAAAATGAATTTTTGAACTAGAATTATTCAAAATTTACTATAAAATATAGAAATAAATAAAATTGATTAAAATTAAGAATTATTTTTATCTGTACAATATACTAGTAGCAATAGTTTGAGTAAAATTATTATTATTAATAAAGTGTGAACAGCAATAAAAGTAGGTAAGTTGATTATGAGCTTTAACTGTTATTCTGCAGAAAATAGTTACATATGGATAAGCATTAGAAAAAATATATTTTAACTGACTAGGGATCAAATAAATACAAATCAAAACAATAAGTTATCTTTTTCTTCCTACCAAATTAAGCAATAGTAGAAAAGTCATTTTAATACTCAATATTTGTGAGGATAAATGTAACAAATATTCATTTACATGGATACTGATAATACAGCATCCTTTTGACATTTTACATGTGTGTGTATATCACACAGATAATCTTAAAATATTTATTCTTCCTGATTTTATTTCTAGGATTTATATCAATAAAATAAGCAATAATATTAAATGTAAAGACATTAATCACAGGGTTAAAGCATAAGCACACCAAAATGTAAGACACTTTAAATATCCTCTTATAAGTCTTCTCATGGATATGTTCATCTTATCTATCCTCCTACCTACCTATCTAGACTGTCCTGGGGACAGAGGCCTTTTGGCTCTGGTGCCTGCTCCTGCACTCCAGGCCCCATCCCCAGCTTCCACACACGCTGCCTGACCCTGGATCCCCAGAGTCTGCACGTGCCACCCTGCTCCTGGCTCCCCAGCGCCAGTGTGCGAGCAAGCGGCCATGGGGCCAGAACTTTCCCAGCATGGCCCTGGCTGCCAGGTGCCTGTGTATGCAAATTAACCTGCCATCTTTGTCAGGTTAATTTGCATACTCACTCTGATTGGCTAGTAAGCATAGCAGAGGGATGGTTAATTTACATGTTTCTCTTTTATTATATAGGATATTTGATAACTATAAATATCCTATCTAAAAAAGACAAAGGGGCAATTAACCATACCTCCGCTACTCTTCCCATTGGCTAATCAGCAAGATATGCAAATTAACTGCCAACAAAGATGGCAGCCGACAGCCACGCAGCTGAAGCGAGCAGGAGGTTTGCTTGCTCTGGTGATGGAGGAAGCCAAGGTTCCCCACCTGCTGTGGCCCAACTCTAAGCTCCGAAAGCAACAGCTCCAAAAGCAACAAAGTTTCGATTATAGAAGCTAAACAAACCCCAGATACCTGCTTTCAGCCAGTTGTGGCCTCAGAGCTGGGAGCACCAGTGATGGCAACAGAGTTTCAATTATGGAAGGTAAATAAATCCCAGAGAAAAAAGAAAAAAGAAAAAAAGGAGAGGCTGGGAGCTTCAGTCGCAGGCCAGCCTGAAAACAGCCCTCAGCCTCTCACCCAGACTGGTCAGGTACCCCAGTGGGGACCCCCATCCTGAAGGGGGTGTGACCAGCTGCAAACAGCCATCAGCCCCTCACCCAGTCTGGCCGGCCACCCAAGCAGGACCCCCACTCTGATCCGAAACACCCTTCAGGACAATCCAGCAGGCCCCCACCTGTGCACCAGGCCTCTATCCGATATATTAAAAGGGTAATATGCAAACTGACCCTAACAGCAGAAAGACTGGGAATGAGTGGTCATTATGACACACACTGACCACCAGGGGGCAGATGCTCAATGCAGGAACTACCCCCTGTTGGTCAGTGTGCTCCCACATGGGGAGCTTTGCTCAGCCACAAGCCAGGCTGACAGCTGCCAGTACAGCGGTGGTGGTGGGAGCCTCTCCCGCCGCCTCAGCAGCGCTAAGCATGTCTGACTGCAGCTTAGGCCTATTCCCCGCTGGCAAGTGGACATCCCCTGAGGGGACCCAAACTGGGAGAAGGCACAGGCTGGGCTGAGGCCCCCTCCCCTCTGAGTGCACAAATTTTAATATATAAAAATAGTATCTAATATAATAAAAGGCTAACATGCAAATCGACCAAACAGTGGAACAACCAGTCACTATGACATACAATGACCACCAGGGAGCAGACGCTCAACACAGGGGCATCTCAGGGGGAGTGCTGCTCAGCCAGAAACCAGGCTCATGGCTAGTGAGTACAGTGGCAGTGGTGGCAGCCTCTCCCACGCCCACAGCAGCTTAAGGGTGTCCAACTGCCAGCTTTGGCCCACTCCTCATCCCCTGAGGACTCCTGGACTGCAAGAGGGCACAGGCCAGGCTGAGGGCTTCCCCCACAAGTGCATGAATTTCGTGCACCGGGCCTCTACTATATATATATTTGATAAACCATAAAAATGTTATTATTTATTCATTAAAATCATTCCAGTTTGGAAAGTATATATGTAATATTGTCACAATTATTTAGAAAAATATATGGGAGGAAGGCAATGAAAGAAAACATGACCTGCATTTAACTCCCGAGTTAATAATGAAGAGATACTTGGTCAAGATACTTGGAAAATCTTGATACTTCATTTATTCTAAGTACTAGAAAATGAGGAAGTTAAGAAAAGGGATAAATCAAACCACAGTACAGTAACAGTCCATGCTATACTGTATAAATTGTATAAGGAATTATGTCCATCCACATTCCCACCACCCAGAACAGTAAAAAGGCCAAATGCAATTGATATATCCAAACTGTTAGTCCATTCCAAGCCAAGTTAGAGTTTACTTGGCCTAGGAATGAGTAATGGGGAATAACCCAATAAAATCCCTGCTAGAATATAAGGAAAAGAAATCACCCAAAACAATCAACACAGAGATTTATTGTCCAATAAAAGCTGTAAAAGTAATTTCAGAACACTATAGTACATTTATTAGACTGCAAGGACAATAATGTTTAAAAAAAGGAACAGGAGTCCATTAATATAAAATTTATTGGGGTAAAAATACAGCGGATCACCAAAAAAAAAAAAAAACAAGAAAAATTGTAATAAATCATCTAACTCTACAACTTAAAGAATTAGAAAGAGAGCAAAAAGAAAATCCCAGAATGAGCACAAGAAAGGAGATAATAAAGATCAGAGCATAAATAAGAGTCATAGAGACCAAATGAATAATACAAAAGATCAATGAAATGAAGAGTTGGTTCATTGAAAGGATAAACAAGATTGATGAAGCCTCTAGCCAGGCTCACCAAGAAACAAAGAGGGAGGACCCACATAAACAAAATCAGTAATGAAAGAGATGAAATAACAACAGACCCCACAGAAATAAAATAGTTGTTAAAATAATACTATGATCAACTCTATTCCAACATACTCAACAATCTGGAGGAAATAGACATATTCATAGAAAAATTCAACTTTCCGAAACTCAATTAAGAAGAATCTAAAATCTCAGTAGGTCGATAACTATGGAAGAAATTGAAGCAATCATCAAAAAGCTTCCAACAAACAAAAGCCCGGGGCCAGACTTCACAGGGGAGTTATACCGAACATTCAAGGAAGAACTAAATCATATCCTCCTCAGACTATTCCAAAAAATTCAAGAGGAAGGAACACTTCTAAGCTCATTCTATGAAGCCAGCATCAGCCTAATACCAAAACCAGGTAAAGACAACACAATGAAAGAGAATTACAGGCCAATATCCCTC